TCCAGAAGTGGTACATTCTTTTCAGATATCCTCTTCTTGTTCCACTTGATTTGTAATAGCAGATCATTATTTCTTTGTTTTCAGTCTTTGTATGTTTGCGATGGGTAAACAACTTTTCTTCCAGTAGTTCTGCAGATGCTGGCCCTGGTTGCTCAGCCAACAGTCCTGAGTCCTGTAGCCTACTTGTCAACAGATGTCCAGAACTACAAACCTAGCATGGTCCTTGTTGACCAGAACAGTGACCGATCTAGTATGGGTTTCTGTAAGTTATGTCTCACCATATTGTTTATTGGAGAGACACGCTTTGTCTGGCTCCTCTGATTAAACCTGTCCAGTATGGTCGAACCTCTGGCATAGCTCTCATCCTCCTCAGAGTATGCAAGCCCCATAACCACGTCAAGGTAGTAGCTCACTGGGGAATGATGATGATGATGATGATGATGATGATGATGATGATGATGATGATGATGATGATGATGATGATGATGATGATGATGATGATGATGATGATGATGATGATGATGATGATGATGATGATGATGATGATGATGATGATGATGATGATGATGATGATGAGCCTTTGTCCAGGTGACTGCCTGGACAAGTCCCTGCAGTTTTCTTGGCAAGATTTCAGAAGTGGTGTTTCATTGCCTTAGTCCTCAGGCTAAAAGAGAGTGATTGGCCCAAGGTCATCCAGGTGGCTTTGTGCGTAAGGCAGGACAAGAACTCAAGGTCTTCCAATGTCTATCCTGATGCCTTAACCACTGCACCAGACTGGGTCTCTTGAAGTTAGAATATGGGGGCAATAAGTACTACAAACAAACAAACAAACCATAGATTTTTTTCCCCCTGACTCTTTGTTGTACTAAATTTCTTAATAGATATCTCTCCTTGTCTGGTTCACATAATCTGCTTTATATTCATTACACTTAGAATATGGGACTTATAAATATATTTCTTTTTTAAACATGAAAAGGCCAAGTCTCCCCCAAATCAAGCTTGACTGTTGGTGACTACATGGAAAAGGATATGATGTCTTTTTTTAGCAATAGTAGGCAGTGATTAGTCATTGCTTTCTTCTGGGGGATGATGATGTTGTTGATGGTGATATTGCCTTACCTTCCCAGTCAAACCTATATAGCAGCCTTGCAATTTCCTGGTATTCTCCATTAAAGTACCTACAGTTAAACATTTTGACTTTTCAAGGTCACATAAAGATTATTATATGCTGCCACCTGCCATGAACTCTAAAACGTATGGCATTTCAACAGAAAGTATTTGTTCTTTTCTGTTGCACATTCAGTATTCGTGACATATTAAAAATCATTCTGCTATACAATTCCATTTTTTGGCAGCTCATGTATGGATCTGCTAGAATTGAAACAGGGGACAGCAATCTCCCTTCCTTCTACCAAATGGTTCCAAATGGAATTTATCAGTATAGAGGGATCCTCCACTTACTTCTACATTTCAACTGGAGGTGGATTGGATTCTTTGTTGCAAATGGGATGAATTTTGACTGGTTCATGCAGACCCTGGTTCCTGAATTTACCAAAAAGGGCATTTGCTTTGCCTTCATAGAGTTATTCACCAGTTCATGTTATGATGCCAATACAGGATTTTATTTTAATTGTATACTAGCATTTTATCAGAAAATCATGGATAATGAAGCCAGTGTCTTGGTTTTTAATGGAGATACAGGTTCCATGATCCTTTTGAGATATTTACTAAAGACAGATATTAAAGAATTACTGGGAAACCCCAAAGGGAAGGTATGGATCCTGACTGTTGGGATGGAGTTGAAGTTCTTTACCAGTAAAAAGAACTGGGATTTGCAGGAGTTCCATGGTGCCATATCATTTGCAGTTCATGCCAAAGAACTGAAAGGATTCCAACAATATATTCAGGACCGAAAGCCTTCCACTGTTAAAGACGACATTTTTATCAAGGAGTTTTGGACTCATGCCTTTGGATGTGCATTTCAAGGTTCCAATCTGGGAGATGAGAAGGAGGACATTTGCACTGGAGAGGAGAAGCTAGAGAGCCTTCCTGAGCATATTTTCCCAAAAAGAATCACAGGCCACAGCTATAGCATCTACAATGCTGTCTACGCTGTGGCTCATGCTCTGCAGGCCATGTATTCATCCGCATCTGGAAGAAAGGTTGTAATGAAAGAGGAAGGAAGGAAGCTTTATAATCATGGGCCCTGGCTGGTAATGGACTCACTAGTTTAGTCTGTGGTCTAGTCCATATATTGCCATGCCCTATACATTAATGCTCTGTACATGGCAAGAATGAATACATGCCAAGAATTCTTGTACTACTAGAGTTTATGTCTGGAAAAATATCCCCCCGCCCTTGGAGATACAACTGATGGTCCCTTTCTTAGCAATACCTATGTACAAAACAAATATAGGGAAAAACTGTGATTAGTATGGGTAGCAATAAATGTAAAAAGAATGAATTTATCATCTGCAGAAAATTGGCAAATCAAGTGGATCGGTGCAATTATTTTTTTCATACCCATTGAAGATATATCTGTTGAAAAACCTGATACAAAATATTAATATATGAGAACATGAATATCATTGAATATAATACATAAATAACTGATAAATCATTAGAAAGAGAATATAAATAACATCAGTGGAAGTTTTGAATCAGTCACAACAAAATCATAGGAATAGAAATGAGCTGAAGCAAAGATTGAACAGCCAGGAATGAATGGCATTAATAGTAATCTTTATAAGGCAAATTCAATTCATAAACAATAAAAAATCTCCAACATTATGTTGGACCCACATTCATATGACTCAAAGATGATTCAATACAGTTTTTGTACAGTATCTACCAAGATGACCTCCTTTCAAAAGTATGATTTATTGTTAGGAGGAGAACAGACCACGAGTCTCACAAATATTACACGAGTGGTTTTTTTTCTTTGTTTCTTTGTTGTTGTTGTTGTTGTTGTTCCATAAGTTGCTAATTTTTTTGATACTTTTCTTTGAGAACTTAACATTCGTTGTTAGAAATTTTGTCATCAGGGCCTTAGTAATGTGACTGACAATTCTCGTGTTTCATGCTCGAAAATCTTCCAGTAAGAAAACCTTGTTACTGGTCATTTCTGTACTAGTAAAGGTTTTACTAAGAGAACAGCTGAGGACTTTACGTAGGAAGTCCATTGAGACTATGTTTGGACATCTTACAGATATTTTCTAGCTTCTTGAGGAAGATTTAAGATGCAAGATTTAAAAGATTATTACAGTGCCCAATTTCCTAGGGTCTCAGAAGGTCCTTAAGAACTGGCTTTGTTATGATGCCTGGGGTTAGTGGGTACGTCAACCCCCTGTTGTAGTTTGACTGTTACACTTGTTCTATTGTCTGGGCTCTTTTAATTGAATATTGCATGTGTTGCAAGCAGCCCAGAGTGTTTTGGAGTGGGCAGTTAGAGTAAATCTAATAAATAATGGCAGTCCCTAAACTAATAATTATGATAACAACAAGAAGAATAAAGCTGTTATATGCAAAGTTTCTTAAAATCTTTTGTTTTCTGATCTAGTTATTCCATTTTATGAAATCTGTATCATTTAACAACAGTGCCAGTGAAAGGATTTTCTTTGATCAGAACAGGGAGCTAGTTCAAGAACTCGACATCATCAACTGGCTTATCTTTCCAAACCAATCGTTCACGGGAGTGAAAGTTGGAAAAATGGATCCTCAATCTCCTCCTGAGGAAGCATTCACCATTAATGAAGATGCAATGGTGTGGCACAGCTGGTTTAACCAGGTATGAGTTGAGTGAAAATATTTTTTATCTATATTTTCCATATTCATATTTTGGCCAGATGAATTACAAGGTCTTGTCTCTTTCATTCTCTCTTTTTTTCTCTCTTTTTGTTATCTCTGTATTCAAGGGCTCCATCCAATAGAGTGATAAAATTTCTATAAATCCCAGATATTTCATACGTCAGAATCATTCTGCTGTGGGATGAGTAGGTCCATTGATACTGATTAATTTAATTATCTGTAATGACAATTTGTTTATTTATTTAAAAGATTTGTATAGCTGCCCATTTTATGTAACATAACCCTGGCTGGCTCAGAACAGTAATAAAACAATAACAACTATTAAAAGCATATAAAACAAGAAAACAGCAGAACAGACCATACCTGGTGCCCCAACACGACACACATGCACATATGTAACACAACTGTAGAACTTCCCTGGGCTTCAGCCTCACATCAACCCAAGACTTGCAGGAGAAGCCAGGTCTTTACAACTTTTTGAAAGACCATGAACACAGGGGCCTGCCCGATCTCAGGGGGAAGTATGTTCTGAGGGTCAGGGCCACTACAAAGAAGACAAACTGTAGAGGTCCCACTAGATGGCAATAGTTGAGGGAGAGGAAAGGGACAGAACTCTGCCTGAGTCCCTGATTCAGCTAATGCTTTTCTGCCTTTTCCTCCCAAACAATTTTGGGTCATGCTTGGCAACAATCTGGTGGAAAACATAAAGTAAAGTATGGCATCCTTGACTGGTCAATGGAGCCAAAATTCTTTTTTCTGGTTTTAATGTTCCCTCAAATAATGCTACATCATTATGTATTATTTTTTCTATTGGACAAATAGAAATGTCAATGAAGAACAAAACACTTTTGGACACAGATTTTCTCTATAAATGGAAATAGAAACTCTTTATCACATCATATTGTAACAATAAGAAATTTAAGGCATTTCACCTAAGCATTCTATAAAGTATATTTCTCCTTAATCCATTTTCAAAACATTCCATCCTTCAAATTGGTAAGAGAAATATCATTTAATCCCTTTTTTAGACTTTGGCTTAACTTGGCACAAGTTTTTCACATCAAACTTGGCTAGATTAGAATCTCTGTTATAGACAAGAACTGAGCCTCAAATAGAACAGTTCATCATCTGCTACAGTGCAACTAAGGAGGGTATATTACAGAATTCAGAACTGCGTATTCTGTATATTAGTTGTATATTCTTTACATTACAGAGTTTAGGTTTTTTTCTATCTTTCTCATCCACCTGCTGAGTTTCTTGACATTTGGCCAGTTTCTTAGTGGCTTTTGGAGAAAGCTGAAATATGTTGACATAATGGGTCTCTGCAGCATCTGAACCACTGGTTCCTCACTCACCTGTCTCAACCATTACAATTACTTAGACACAGTGGTATACTTGTATATTGGTATTGTTCAGTTGGGTGGGATTGGCTATGTAACGATTCCATTCCATGCACATACAGCTTCAACTTCTAAAAGTGATATATTACCTGGAAAATTGCATCAGGTGACTTGGTGCTTGTGGGGTATCCTGAGGCCCCTTTCCCAAAAGAGGTAGGGTCGGAAAAAAGAAATGAGTACATCTCAGATCAAAAGGGAATGTGAATTAATTCTTTTTCATTCCAATTCATATTAGTCCACTAATATTAGTTGAAGTTTCAATCCAAAGAAATTAATATTACATGAAACAACATGATTATACCTCATGGAGTTCATCATTTTTTTTCCTTGTTTCACATTAAAATAACATTTTTTCCAGGTTTTGGAGGGGCACTAAAGGGATTCGGTTTCTTTAATTGCTAAACGCTTGGTTCCTCCTTGATTCTGTCCACTCCAGTAATCCTGGAATTATGTACTTTTTTTCCTGAAACGTAATCAATTTAAAATTATGTTCCCCCTATTAACTTCTTCTATTAATTATTAACCATTAATATTATGTGAAGTTTCAATCCACAGAAATTAATATTACTTGAAACATGGTAATATCTCATGGAGTTAATCTTTTTTTTTTTTTTTTCATTCTTTCACATTAATAACTACAATTTTGTTCCAGGTTTTGGAGGGACCCTATAGAGATTCAGATTCTGTAATTGCTAAAAGAAAAACAAACAGAGGGAAGGAAAAACCTGATAAAGTTTCATCCCTGCATGACTTTCTCCACTATAGTCCTCCTGGCCACTATGTACCTTTTTTCCTGAAACGTAATCAATTTAAAATTATCTTCCCCCTATTAACTTGGTCTTCCTTCATTGATGGACAGGCATTGCCTCTTTCTGTCTGCAATCCTCACTGCCAGCCTGGATTCAGAAAAAAGAGGAAAGAAGGGAAACCCTTTTGCTGCTATGATTGTATTCCCTGCCGCAAAGGATCGATATCCCAGCACAAGGGTGAGCATTAGTGTGTACAGAGATACAGTATCATAGAGTTTATTTTCAA